TGAATGTTTGTTTTTTGCGATTTTTTGTTGATGCGATCTCGAAGCATATACAAACAAGTTTAAATGTTGGATTGTTGAAATTAGTTTCGTAGAATTCATATCCCATCAAGTTCAATGGTGTATATATATTTATTAAGTAGATTTAAATTTATTTATTTTGTACGTATAACACTTAAGAAATTGAATGGTATGTATATTAAGCTGATTCAATGGTCACCAATTTTTAATATTTAATTTAATATATATATATATATAAAATTATTATAGTTTTTAGGGGTATAAATTGTTAAATTAATATATATAATTATTATAGTATTTTTTTTAGAGTTATAAAATTAATATTTTGCTTATCGTGTATCATGTTACCCACGTGTATACCCGAACCAATCCGTTATCTTAATAGGTGCTTATCGGGTTACCCAATAATGACCCGATTCGTTATCGTGTCGACCCGAACACTTGTTAATTTCATGTCGTGTCGTGTCAGGTTATCGGGTCAGGAATTGCCAGGCCTATCTTCCACTATATATTGTGGTTTAGCATAACACAAAGTCATTAAAAAATGTTTTCCACAAAATAAACAAATAATCTAGTTTTTCACAAAACAAAATCAATTCCCTTCACTTCATAATATATATATATATTTTTGTTTTTGCAAGGTATTGTGCTTTTTCATCTGTTGATTTTGCATGTGGTGCATTGGGGCCATTCCAGAAGGTCTCCAAGGTGCATTGAAAGGTTGTGTACTACAATATTACAACCTGCATGAAACCACACTACAAATTAAAGACAAAATTGAAAGACATATATGCAGGCTGGTACAAATTGATAGAAGAATTAAAATTCAAATAAGACTAAGTCTCTAACTCATGATCAAATATGTGTTGGCATTGAAAAAAAAAACAATAATTTATTAGAAGTATAAGGATTTCCAAAGGAAATCATACCTAAGAAATTCCGCTCAACTTAACATTCACCTCTTCTCCTAGCCATTGACATGGTTTCATAGGTTTAGTTTCACTGCGTTTAAGGCTTTTTTTTTTTTTTTTTTTTTGTAAAATCTAATTTCAGTTAAACCCTAAGTCAGACTAGATGTCCACCGCATACAATGTAATTTGAATTGAAATGACGAATTCCATGTGATAGTCACATGAGTTTATTTAACTGAAGAATAATGGAAGTTTAGATTGGACCTCAATTGCTAACAAGGCTCACTACGAGGGTTTAATTAACAACTTTTTCACCATGAGGGTTAGATTGAAAGTGTCGTGTCACCATAGGGACCATGAAAAAAATTTGGCCAAGATAGTATAAAATTGTGGTACAAATAAATGGTAAGGATAATACTATTGTAAAAGAAATTATAAGCAAATGCATATCGCTATATCAAAAAAGAAAAAAAAGATGAAAATAAGAAAACGCTATAGATATTTTTTACTTTTTATTCAAAGGGAGTTTATTACAACAATAGAAAGGCTTTTTTTATTAGCACCCGACATAATGTTGAATACACCGCACATGAAAATTTAATATTAAATCATTTATATACCCTAATATGCAATGTCAATTTAGACCTCATAAAGTTTAAAAGAAATAAAAAAAATTTCTAAATACACCCCAAACCACTTTTAACATGTATATCTGATGATTATTTATCATCTTCAACTCTCAAAACCATTCTCACCCTCTATTGTAGAACAAACCTACTAATGAAACTACAAAGAGACATCAGTCAAACTAGAAAGAGCTCAAACAGGTACTGAAAGGGTGGTGTTCGATCAAATAAGCTTAAGTGTTATTTCGAAATACTATAACTCTCAAAGAATGAGTAGTGTTTGGTTTGATTTAGAGGGAAACGTTACTGACTTTGAAGAGCTTATCTAAGACGGTATTGAACAGAATTTGTTGCAAAAAATTGTGGTAGGAGTTTGCCCCTGTGAGATGAAAATGATGTCGGGAACTTTCCTATTGCTTTGAAGAATCTGAGTAAAAGTCTAAAAGTGAAGAATTTGCAGCCTAATCGTGATATAAGTGACTAGAACTTGAAGAGATTTGACATGATCATTTTCGTGCCGATGTTGAAGAGAAATTCAAGGACTTTACAATGTTCGGGAAAAGGGGCAGATGGAGGCTAAATTCGTTTTTGATCTTCAGTCTATAGGGCTTAGAGAGTTACTATTTTCGTTATTTTATTTACGTGCATATTGAGGGCAGCCATAGCCAAGAAAGAAGGGAAATTGTAATTGTATTGGAATCAACATGTCAAATGATTAATAAGATTTGTTTCTTTTTTAAAAATCTAGTGGATGTGAATTGTGCATTGGCTTTGACACTACTGTTAATAATGCGAAGAGTGCAGTATGTATATAGAAAATGTGGAGTGTATGATGTAAGGCATATGTTGAGAGTGTGAGGTGTGAGGGTATTATGGGAATGTATGTGGGGTGTATTAACATGAATTTTAATTGAAAAGGCAAATGTGAGGTGTATTAAGTATGTGAGGTGTATTCAACAATCTGTAGGATGTTAATATAACAAACCCAATAGAAATTATAATGGGATCCCTTCTCCCTGTCCCTGCCTATCCCTCAATACACAAGACAACTATTATGTTTCATAACAACAAAATTGAAAAAGTGGTGGGGTTCAAAAAAAAAAAAAAAAAAAATTGAAAAAGTGGTGGATAGCATTTTCCTCCTTTAAAATCAACTCTTGTGCAAAAGGCGTCAAGACAATCTTCACATTTTCCCCGGCACTGTTCTTCAGGGCTTACCGAAAAGCAATTGTAAAATAGAAATAGTTAGTAGGAATTTAATTTGGTGTATACGAGAAGAAAAATGCAAGAAATTAAAGCTCAAACATATATATTGACTACATACCGAGTGAAAAGAAGAAGATGGCTATGGCTTCTGCAACGATTAAGTTCTTGATAATGAGATGGTGATTGGATTGCTATATGGCTCCGAGATGGTGATTGTATTAATTTATAGGATTACAAGCAGACCTTAATTAGGTTCATGTACACAATTATGCCAATATTTATGCATCCTCCAATTCTACTAAAATTTTAATGCCAAATGATTCAAAACCTTATGTTTCAAAACTTTAGTTTCCTTTCCATCCGCAGTTTGAAAGTCAACCATGCACTTACTATTATACATTTGATCAATTGAAATACAAACAAGCCATTACCACATTACCACTACAGTTTAACGGTAGTATCTTAACGTATAAGAAAAACTCCAAGATTCGGCTCACCTGAATAAGAAAGCTGATACTTAATTTTCATGGCTAATCCATTACATGAACATAACCTAGCAGATATGAGAAAAATGCAATAATTATTGAAGAACAGAAAATTTCTACATTGGAGTAGTGACAAACTGCTTATACTATTGTTAACCTTAAAAACTACAAGCCTACGTGGCTTGCATACCAAGTAACTAAGAGCTAACTACGTTCTTCTTCTGGTGGATGCGGGCGTGTTAACTTGTCACTGAAGTGAATCAGGCGAGTAAGATGAAAGTAGTGGTGGTGTCAAATCGCGCTGCTAACTTTTGGACTGAGCGACTACAGTCAAGGAAGTATCCTCAACATCGGGTTCAGCGAGTTCAACTATATTTGTGAACACATAAGTGCACCGAATCGGTATCAGGCTGTAACGGCAAAGATAATCAAAGGAAATGAGCTTCTTTATGGTGAAGGTTGTTCGGCTAGATGAATGTTGAACTTTGAAATATACCTGAGAGTAACCAATCATAGAACACCTCATTTTGTCAGAAGGCTAATGAAGTAACCTCTCTTAGCAAGAGAATCAAAAACTCTTCACTGACTAAGACTTGGATAGGTAACCAACAAGGATAGAGAGTGTTGGTTTAACCAAACTAAAGGTCTCCTAGGCCTGGTAGGTTCTACAGCTCCAGTGTTGTTTAACCAAACGGAAGATGTCACCAGTTGTTGACCCTATGATGTTTAACTAAACTCAATATATGCCAAAGGGGAGGGGTTAGAGCAGTTAGTATTTTCTCAAGGTGTGAGAGGGTTTCGCGTAGAGCGTTGATTTGTGTGTTGAGTTGAAGGTCCTTTTCTCGTTGCAAAACCTCTTCTATTTATAGGCAAGGCTTCAAGGGTAAACATGTTTGCCAAGATAGAGTCCTATAAGACTAAGCTTCCTCAGTATTTACCTAAATATTCCAAATTATCCTCTCTTACCTAAAACTTAACCTTCATCCAGTCTCAGCCTCGATTTGAACCTAGTCTCTTTTTTAATTTAATTCATTCTTATCTGATTAAGCATGAATTTTGATCCCTTGAACAAATCTAATCTTATCAAATTCTACCAATCCTTAATAGTTTTAGTTCATCTAGGACTCGACGGAGCCCTGCTCAAACATGATCTCTTCACAATTCTTCAGTCATAAGGACTCGGTTGGGCTGATGTCATCTGGGGCCGGAACACCCTTAGCTTATTGAATCAATGTTGGCCCGAATATCGGGTCTTCCCATTCCAAATTACTCATTCTCAGCCCAAAATTATATTTTGAGCCCAAACATTTATATACGTATATATACAGACACACATAAAATAACTTTTCAGAGCATAAACGATATATTGTCGTCAGACAACTCTGTATTTTGTTGGTAAGAAAGCATTTTTGGACTCGTATAGTAATATAATCCACCTAAACTATTGTACACCAGCTCATCCATGCTTCTGATCCGAAAATTCAAACCCCTCATTCATTTTTTGTTTTGCTTTTTCCTTTCTCGAGACCATTAAAGATCCAAGAAGTCTAAACTCTTCCCCCATTCAGTCATTTACTACAAACCCTAACCCTTCATTACTACCCTCAACCGCCTCCCACCTTGACACCTCTTCACCACTCGGCCCACAACCCCTATATAAAGCGAATGTTCACAGAGAGAAAAACCACCAAGAGGTAGAGAGTGAGTAGAGAGAGAGAGAGAGAGAGAGAGAGAGAGATCTAGAGTTGCCAAAGATGGAGATGTGGCGTGTCGTTTTGGTGCTTGCTTTGTCATCAGCGCTACTGCATGCAACTAGTGCACGCAAGGTGCCTGGTGATGATGGTCATGGCAGCACAACTGAGCATACAATGGTTGTGCATGCAAGTGCACCAGCGGCAGAGTCACCTACTGGCCTTCGTGACAAGAAGTGCATCTTTGGCGGCGTTGGCGGGTTTGCAGGGATGGGAGGGTTTGCTGGAGTTGGCGGGGTGATGCCGGTTCTTGGTGGAATTGGTGGAGGTATTGGGAAAGTTGTTGGAATTGGTGGAGGGATTGGGAAAGTTGGTGGAATAGGAGGAGTAGGAGGTATTGGCGGTGGTGGTCTTGGTGGAGTTGGCGGATTAGGCGGTGCTGGTGGCGCTGGTGGTCTTGGTGGTGTTGGAGGTGGCGTTGGTGGTGCAGCTGGCGGTGGCGTTGGTGGTGGAGCTGGTGCCCTTCTTCCACATCCTTGATCATTTGTCTAGGGTTTCATGACTTTGCGTGCATGCATAGCTAGCTATCCAATTAGTAGATTGATCTTTTTGTTAAACTAGTGGTTGGTCCTTGTTTCAAGTTTCTACTTTTTGTCACCGTCGGTTTCTAGCCAGTACTGTGATTGTTGGCTTGTCTCTATGACAAGCATCGATCTTAATTATGAATGTATTTGCTTTCAGTTCTAGTGCTTTCTAGTTAATTATGGTTGAAGGAAATTAATCTGTGTCCTTGAAATCATATATTATCCAGATTCTAGTCCATTGATTATAAAAGGAAAATGAAAACGGAAAATGAAAACTTGATAATTTTGATTATAAGCATAATATGATCTCAATACAGATTATGAAACCGACTCCAAAATAACAAAAACGGCCTTTTCATTTTTTCATGAGATAAATGCCAGGCAAGTGACCATTCTCAAAATATCAAAATATTGAAATTAAGAAGATGTACACTTTCATGTCATCTCATGTCTTGATGGCTATACATTAATTAATTAATTTGTGGAGGAAATTATAATTCGGAACAAATTAAATTGATCTGGATTACCCTGTGAATAGGGATGATAGAGATTTTTTTTTTTTCCTCAAATCACCGAGTCTTAGGTTTCAACTCTTGCACTTTTCATAATTTAGATACATTTAATGTAAATTATTATTATTTGTTTCGAATTCAAATCCTCCTACCTCCTCATTTGTAAAAAGAAAAAACAAATTTAATTGATCTCAACTAATTTGTCTAGGTCTCTTCATCTTGGCAGTGGTGCTCCCACTAATATTAATGGATCTATACTGAACTTCCATTTGCATGGATACCACCTGTACGGCTTGAACATGCCATGCAGAGGGGCATATGCCGATGTATAATTAATGAGATTCAAGCCAGTTCAGTATTATGAGCTAGTGGTATTTTTCTTTACTTGTAAGTGAGATGTCTTAGATTCGATTCTAATCAAAGACGAATCTGAAGTACAATATTGATAGCCTATTGTAAGGCTAAGCCTACCTTATTTTCCTAATTACAATAGAGAAAAAACATTTGGAGGCGTCATTAATTAATTTAGTAAAAGAAATGCTGGCAACCAAAGAAATGCTAGCAACCCTTTCCACTACCATTTGAAGATTCTCTATTCATTGAATTTTTTTTCAAAAATACGATTTTACGATTGTTGGGGACTTTTTCATCCAATTGGATTTGGACTTCGGTGGAAATTCTTAGCTCTCTGGTTCGTTTTTGGCACCAAGTTCTAAAATACTTTGAAAGAATTAGCATGTCTTTGGAATCGTTCCAGATGAATCAATGACTCTTGTTTAGCAATGATTAAATGATTACAATAAATTGTGACTTGCCTGAGTAAAACGTGGCGTGAAAGCTAAAAGTTCACTGGTTTAGTGTGAGAGAGAGCCTGTGCTTGCTTGCATGATTTAAGGATGACTAATCTAGGGTTTCTCATAAATTCACAATTTTACAGAGACTAAGGAAGCTTAAGAGAAGGCTCATAATAAAAGGAAAAGCATATCCCTCAAGAACTAGGGTTTCCTGACTTAAAGGAAGCTTGCTCTATTTGATGTGTTTTTACCCTGGTTTATTCTTTCCTTTCCTTGTTGTCCTCGTTCAGCGTACTGACTTCTCTTACTTATAGGTGCACAGATTCCTTCAAGTTCCAGTTAGGGGAATCCCTTGGTTTCCTCCCTTTTCCCTATTTTACTAAGTTCTCTTCCCCTTTCCATGGTTACAACTACCAAGTTCTTCTTGGGTATAACACCGCAGAGGGTTGCTAGCCTCGTGAAGCCTTGGTTGAACACACTCACTAGTAGAAAAAACAGCTTGCGCAACGACATTTTGCGCGACGAAGACATTTTTGTTGCTCGAGAGGCATTTGCGCGATGAAATTTATACTTCGTCGTGCAAAATAGAAAAGATAGGAGAAAAAAAAAATTGTGCGACGAATAATTGTTGGCGTCGCTTAAAGTCAGTAAGAAAACGCGGGGAAATTTTGTTTGGCATGAAAACTTGCGCGACGAAAAGGTGGCTTTTGAGCGACCAACTGTTCGTCGTGCAAGTTCCTATCAGTTTTGACCATTTACTACAGGTGAATCAGAGGAATTAATACAACATTTATACTGGTGTTTGCGCGACAAAGGCTTCGTCGTGCAAAGGTCCTAATCTTCCTATAAATATGTGTTTCTACTATCCTGATTCTTCACAATTCTATTCTTCTTATTCTTCACAATTATGTTCGTGCTGGGTTGGCGGATAAAAACAAGGATGAGAATGTATGTGACGCCAACCCGCATGATTTGAGGGAACATTTTGAGTTTGTGTATGTGATCGCTATAGCCATGGGGAATAATTGTCCCATTGCTGAGTGGTGTTCTTGGGAAGATGTGCCCGAGAATGTGAAGAAGGCTGTGATGGATGAACTATTAGTAAGTATATTGTTGACAGATTAATAGTTAAGTTTGTGAAATTTTTAGTTATATGTTGGAATTAATTATTTGCATATATGTGTAACAGTGTAAGTACACTCTTGATGATGATACGAACGAGTAGTTGATGAAGTTGATGGATAATGTGTTAGAGGGAGGTTACAATCGATGGCGTTATGAAGTCTTGCGGAATGGACCAGGACCATCCAAATAGTAGTTTTAAATTTATGTTTTGTATGACAATATTTAAATTTAAGGTTTTTTTTTTTCATAAGTTATGTATTTGGACTTAATTAGGTTTCAAATCTTGTTGGTTTTTTTTATTGAAACCTAGTGTAAGCACCCTATCCTCGGTTTATATGTGTCTTCAATCTTCAATAAATATCATACTTATGCTGAAAATAATTGTATGGATTAAGGCATTAATTATATATAGAATAATATTTCAGGTATAAATTATTTATAGAATAAATATTTAAAGTATTAATTATTTTCTGAACATTTGTTTGTAATTATAAAGTTTACGTAAACATAAATATCTATGTTTATGTAAATTTTATAATTACAATTATTTTATTCGTCACGTAAGACATCTTTGCGTGACGAACACGTTTGTTTGTTGCGCAAAGCATGGTCAAACCATCCTATTTATTGCGCATTTATCACAAATTTTGCGCAACGAATTTGTTCTTCGCGCAAAGTTGTCCTAGAGCTATATAAACATAGTTTCAGAGCCCTAATTTCAAGATATTTTTGTTTCAAAAAGAATGGCTGATTCTGGAGAAGGTTCTGGCAAAAAGAAACTTGTAGTGCAATTAGAGAGGTATTGATGGAAGCAAGTGCTGTACTTTGAAGGCAAAAATATGGCTGAGGCATACGTCGAATTTAAGTATGACATTAGGAATTTGGTGCGGAGGGATTGTTCTGCCAAGTTTGAGTCTTGGAAAAAGGTCCATGAAGAGTTTTTGTTAAAACGTAATATTTTTTTAAATTACTAATTTATTGTTATTGGCATTAATGTAGGTTCATTGGGATGTTGATGAACATTGATGAGAAGCAACATATTTATGTGGATGGGCTTTTCAAGCAAAGTTTTCGGCAATGGAAGTTTGATGTGTTGCGGGCAAGGGAGGATTAAAGTTGATGAGGCTTGTTTTTTTTATTTTTTATTTATTTTTTAATAAAGATTTTGTGGACTTTATATTTAATTTAATGAATAAATATATGTTATTTGGATGAGTATTAATATTTGCATTAATTATAATTTCTATTTGGGATAGTAAATTAGTTTTGTTAATTAATTTAATGTTTAATTAGGTTTGAGTTTTTAATTATAATAAAATAAAAATTTACAATACATACAAATAAAAAAGAAAAACATAAAAAAATTAAAAAATATGCATTGTGCGACGATACATTCTTTCGTCGCACAATGTGTTGAAAAGAATCAATTGTAAAGTAAAGGAAATAAAATTAAAAAAATAGTAAAATTGCGCGACGAAGGTTTCTTTTTTCATCATGCAAATTGGTTTTGCGCGACGAAGATCATCTTAGTCGCTCACTGTGTGTATGCGTGACTGGATACCTTGTTCGTTGCGCAAAATTGTCGTCCTTTTTAAATAGGATTCAGCCATGTCCAGAGGCAAACTGGAAAAAAAATTGCAGATTGTGCCTCTGCACTCATCCCTTCGATTTTGCTCAATCCGGCATCCGTCATTTCATTTTCTCTCAATTTCATCATCTAATACTCCCTCAATTTTCTTCTCTAGTTAATCGAGCTATCTCGGTGTGTCTGGTAAGCGTTTTTTGTTGTTAGGGTAACAGTATTAATGTAAATTCATACTAACATCATTAATTTCGTTGTCTATAGGGATATTGTGTGTGATTAGCGATTGGTGGAGAACGATTGAGAAAGTATTTTCTTCGTTTTGTATTGGACATATAAAATTAATTAAATTATGTTGAACTTAGTTTGTTATGTTTATATTGTGTTGTGAAATTATATTTATATTATGTTGTTAAATTTGTACATGACGTAGAAATATGTGTTGTGATGTACGGAGTTAATTGAAATTAACTTTGTACTTGTTTTTTTATTTTTAGTAAAACTTAGTTTCCCGTTCGAGGATTAGTTGGATTTCGCGCATGAATGCTAAAGCATGATTGCGGTCCAATTAATTCTTGAATTGTCCAATTATTTGGATAGTTTGGGAATGCACAGTTATGATGCATAGTTTATGGTTAAAGGATTAGGTTTCTGTTGTGGAGATTTTGGTGTCATCTCTGTACGTTTTTCAGGTTTTACACCTGAAGAATTGTATCAAGATGCTATCGAAATTCATCCACGTCAAAATCTAATTTGATGTAGCCGTAAATTACGTGACATGACTATGCATTCCCGAATGGGATAGGGCCCTTACTGGAGGCATAAGGTGACATTATCATTTTGAATGAAGTTGTTGTGATTGTTGTATTGTTATTATGGTTCCAGGAATTATGGACAAGACGTGGATATAGAACCCGAATAGATGCGCGAATGAATACTTGGATGGAATCGAGGAATTTATTGACTTTGCACGTACACACAACCCGGGTG